TCTGTATATGCTATTGTATCTCTTGTCCACCCTACCCCTCGTCTCTCTGCCTTGCTCCAAACTGTTTCTGTTCTTCCGTACTCATTATAGCACGTTATCACTAAAAATACTTAAACTTTATTCCTATTAGGGTTCCCACCTGCAAACTTGGACACATTGTGGCAAAATGTCCGGGTGACACCGCGAATCATCCAGCGCCCAACATCCTTGCGCAGTACAGCCCCTGAAGAGGACCGCGACATGTCGGTCGACACGTCAGCACCTCAGCCATCGACGCGGCGTCACCCGGACAGCCCAGATCATCGCTCCTGATCGTTGTGAGTGTCCTTGTTGAATTGTGTGAGCACCCGCTTTCTTCTTTGGTTGAAACTGCTTTCGAACCGCATTGACCGACAGCTTGTTGGTGTTGTCCGTCATAGTCTTTATGCGCCAGTCTGCTTCTTCCGTGGCTTTGCAAATTTCGATCGCCTTATCCAACGTTCGGTTTGTTTCGCGAATAAGCCTGTCCTCACCACTCACGATTCGATCTCGGATCAAGCGATCTTTAAGATTGCCGAAATCACAGTTCGCTACAAGCTTTCTCAGTTCTGTAAGATTCTGATTACAACTTTCATATAAACCTTGCACACGCGTATATAACTTGTGACTTACGACACTGACATTTTTGTGGTAAAAAATTCGTCCAATTTACTCAAAACTGTTTTAAACACTTTCTTTTCTGCTTTAGTCAACGTTAAAGTGTTGAAAATATCGACTGAATCACTTTCCTCTACAGAATCTTGCGAGGAAAGGCATCATTTGTGAAACACCTTTTGACGTAATTGGCAGAACAAACCGTAGTTCTTAAAATTGAATGTGTTTCCACATTGGAATCTGCCCAGAAGACAATACTTCCCTGAACGTCTGGAGGAAAGTCTTGCTACTGCTTCTTCCCATCTTACAAATGCCTATAGAAGTGCTCGCCTGACAAAGTCCTTATTTCTTTCGCCTCTTATAAGTGTGACTAAACCACGAATGGATGAATGTCATTCCCATAAACAAATTTCCATTATGCCTGTCTGGATGGCCGAGATCGCTAAGGCAGTAGTGCCGTAGCAATTCAGACTGAAGGATCGCGGGTTTGAGTCCCGCCTCGGGCGTGGATGCATTTGTGTGCGTTGTTTCACCATATCGTGTAATCCTCACAGCTGCCATACCGTTAAACACAATAGTGGTCACTTATCACCTAAAGTTGATGCGATCTTAACAAAAAATAAAAATGATGTATTATAATTCAGTTACAATTTTAAATCTGTATTTCAATTACATGCCTCAATGTATTTTTGCTCGGGAATGATTATTGTAAATTAGTTTTAACTTTATAATTGGATATATGAATTGTTACTTATTTGTACAAATCTGCTTGACGCAAATAAATAAATATCTTGCCAAATAAATACAGGCTTGTTTCCTTCTATTTTAGATGCTAACTTCGTCATCTTCATTTTCTGCTTCTCCTCCTTGTCACGTATTTTTTAGGTAAAATGTAACTTTTGGACTGGTTAAGGATCAGCATCTGAATAAAGAGCTTGAAGAACAGAAGGAGAAAGTGACCTTTTGGAATCGGAAAGAAGCTATGCAGTAGGGGCTCTAGATGAGACCAGGGTGTCACCCCAGGCACAACTGTGGTGCTCAGGCACCTGCTGTTCTGAACAGCACTATAATATATAGCTGAATGCTGGAGCAGAGTGCACCGATTTGCCGTTTTAAAAAGGAATACTATAATTACATGTTTTAATAGTAGAAAAGTTTAATTGTTTAAAATAGTGTTTATTGAAGAGCTATTATAGATCTTTTTGTTAAATAGTAAATAAAAAATGTACAATTACGAAATTACGTCATGTGGCTAAAACGAAAAAATTAAGGCATAATAATGAAGTGTGTATGAACTATTTACTCCATTATCATGAGCCAATTTATAAAAAAGTATTATTACAGACATTAATTGATGAGATCTACATGATGATAGCTAATAATAGCCAAACCTTCCTTGTCTGAATAGTGGGGGAAACACATTAACAACACAAACCGTAATATGCAGTAATTGGCATTACTGTTCAATACTGAAGTCTTTAAGTTTCTGTTTTGTATATGGTTTATGTGGCCAATGTGAAAAATTCTAATGCTTCTGGTAAAATTAAATTACTGCTTTATATCATTTTTAAATAGCTGCTTAATTTAGGCCAATATTAATAAAATTATAACATTGTCCGAGAGAAAATTTGAGAAGTGTGTGTAAGTTTGATATTCAAGATACGTCTTTCTTAATTGCCTGGGAAAATTATTTTGCTCTGAAAATGAAGTGGTTTAAATCTATTGAAAATAAGACATTTATTCATTTTTAGAGTACATGACTTGTAGAGTACATGGTTTGTACAAAATATTAGACAAATAACACCAAAGAGAAAATGGGTCACACACTAATACTAATAAAAAACAGAATTGATCATTTCTCTTCCTATTTCAATTACTTTCTCCCATGGTCGAATTTAGATTCAGTGATTCCCAAGCCCAAAATAGTATGAAGTACCTTTCCAAACAATTCTTAAAATTTACTTAAAAAACCCTACGAAAGAATTATTTTTGTAGAAATGAAAATTAACACACTTCTTACTAGAATGTAATCTACTTTTTTTAAATTAATTATTAATTTCACCTACAAATGTTCAGTTTTACTTCAATAAACTTTTTAGTACACTAGTTTACTTGATTATCAATGTTGAGATTCATGAAAAGTACTCTCAAAAATCAAAATATCCGTTTCGAACTTGCAGGGCCTCAAGTTTGTTCAGGGAATATCAATTTTGGAGAGAATCATGTGAACGGTCTAGGCCAGGATCTAGCAATCTTTCTGGAGTTTCTTCATTTTCTCCCAGTGTGATAAATAGGGCTCGAATCTTTATGACATATCATATTTTTTCTCTTTGTATTACTTCCATGGAAAATGTAAGTTTATCATCATCATCAACAACAACACCCCGGGTTCAGGAGTGGTGCTCCTGTGCTGTTAGTGGGTATTAAAGCAGTATTTCTTCATGTGGTGAAGAGTTCCTGCTGGTGCCATCTTCTTGCTGTACTACCTCAATCCCTCTTCCCATTCGGTGCATAGTTTAATGCCAAGTTAAGCATGATTTTATTTACAAGATTAAAATTATGCAATTTTTTCATATCATATACAGTTAAAATTTGGGCTTTTTTAAAACTCTTTTGTCTTTTTCTGTTTGTTTTTTTTCATATGATTGTCATTAATTTCAAGGAATTTTCTCTTTGATTCCATTTTTGCATACTTGCTTGCAAATGTTTAAAAAAAAAAAAAAAAATCAGTCTCCCATTTGTTACCTAATTTCTTACATTTTTATCTAATTGTTGTCAGTCTTTCCTACAAATATGTGTTTGTAAATTAGGTGGGCGATGTCAGAGTAAAAGAAAGCATAGAAAGCACCAGATGCAAAAGAAGAGATGTTTAGTTTTGTTACGTTTTGTGCAAAGGTGAGCAACTTCTTTAATAAAAAATTTGGCAGGTAGAACTGTCTTCATGGGCCACCAAAGGAGACGGGGTGAATTGTGAATGTACTCTATTTTAAAAGTTTATTTTCATTATAATGGTTAATTAACATCAGTGAACTTCTGAATATTTCAAAAATGCAACCAAACAAATTTTGAGTATTATTTATGGTCGTATTTTTGTACTTTTTAGGTCATAAATCCTTATGTATTTCCATTTTTAGATCATAAACATCCAGGCTCGATTTTTCAAGTGCTTGTATTTTTATTACACCTCCTGAAGATGGTGCAGACTATGAAGAAGATATAGCAGACTATGATGAAGGTGGAACTACAAACAATCTTCCTGAGTCTCAATTTCTGTTAGAAGAAGAAGCTGTGAATTTGTGTCCCAAAGAAGTTGTAAGAGTATCAGACAACAACAATATGGAGGAAATTATAGATTAGGACATTGCTTTCGGGAAGGCATTTTTTCAAACCATTCCATATTTACGGGGACAGATTGTTCTCTTCTGTTTTTAGCTGGTTTCAGGAAATTCTATAAAAAGGAAGAAAGAGGTATTTTTGATTACAAAATAATTGTTGGCAATAACACAATGATTCTTGAATGGAATGATAATCATGTTTGACATATGATTACTAATAAATAATAGAATAATAGAAGTTGTCAACAGAGTGGTGAGCCAGCAAAAGAAGACAATTCCAGTCCCACAGCCCAAAACTGTGGCTAAGTACTACAAGAAGTTCATGGGTGGAGTGGATCGCATGGACAAAAGTAATGAATCTTAAATAATTTTTACAAAATTTAAAAATGATGGTGGCTCGTTTTTATGTTGTGTTTCAATTATTCTGTTCAAAATTCCTTGCTGCTTCATAGGCGGAAAAATAAAAATGTGAAAACCTAGCATTTAGGAGAATAGTGCAAATATATTTGCAACACCAGTTCTCCATCACCTGGTGAGAGACTGAATACCAGCAATCCACTGTCATCACGCATACAGTACAGTGGTATTTGATATAAATTGACATTGAACTGTACCTGTAACCAAACTGGGGCAGTGCATGATATGTAAACAAAATACAAATAAATCATGAGAAAAAGAGGAAATGAATCTACATTTAAACATTTCAATGATTATCACTCCTATTCATAACAACGTCTCTCTTACACCTGAGGATTCTAAAACACAGGTTTATCAATATATTTACGTATTATTCAAAACCAGTAAATGTTCTTGCAATTTTTTTTTGCAATTCTCATAGGATTTATTTAGATTCTTATGTATTAAAATTAAATACAATATTATTTAACTCTTTTATTATTGATAAAAAAGTATAAAAAGTAGTCCCCCAAACTACTGGTACCGTTTGTTCCCTGTGTTATACCTATGTAACAGGGCTTATCGGGGATCCTGTAATAAGAATTTCACATAAATTATATTTTTACTTAAGAATGATTTGTTCTGAAACTATTTTATTTATTTGTTTCAAAAATTCTGTTACAAAAATACCTGGGCAAAAACAGGTTAATGAAAATGTGAATGTATATAGATAATAAATTCATCACTCGCCAACTCACAATGCTTTTTAGAATGACAATGCATCAAAAGCTTCAGCACCGTATGTCAAATACAATTAAACATTTATTCCTGGGGCAAAAAATGATATTATTGCATTTATATTTAGTTCTCATTCACAGTTGAGAATGTCCTCTTGAATGTACTTGGAGATTGGCTTTCAATTGTGTGTGAAAGTAATGAAACAAATATTGGAAAATCAAGCATAATAGAATAAATAAACAGAAAAACATTTATTGATGGGCTACTCAAAACCCAAACAACTGGCATCATGGAAGATAATTAAGAAGTTACCTTTTACAAGATGGCCAATGATATCTCTTACAAAGTACAATTTTATTTGCAGGAGAGAGCATGAATTTTCTACTTTCAACATATTTCTAATATGTACATTTAAACATTGGGAATCGTTTTTAATATTCTGACATGCTATGTATTAAAAGTAATTTGAAATTACATAAATAGATACCAATGTAAAAGTAGTATTTCTTTTGAACACTGCACCCTCACCTCAACAACTTTGCCAACTCTCCACTTTAGAAATAAGGTGACATACATCTGGTTACATCACAAGCAATGTGATGGTGTCAACTGCTCTGATCATCTCTGTCTGGGAGCTAACACTACAACTCTTGAAATATTTCACTTAAAACAGCAGATGTATTCATTCTTGATTTAGGGTATTTCTGTTTTGTTGGCAAGTGCCACTGCCAACCCTTGCAGACTTGTTTCTGCAACAGAAAAACACATTTTAAAGATATAATTAGGAAATATCTGTATATTATTTTCAAAAGGTTTTGTAACAACAGTGTAATTATTATTTTATAACTGAATCTGAAATTTTGCCCAATAGTATTTCCCATTCTTTGCCCTGAAATCCAAACCAGTGTCGGGCAGCAATGCAAACAGCTCCCTGTGCTTGGAGATCAATGACAATTGGAACAGAACTGAGAACAAGTCAATGCATGGAGTACAGGCGCAGTTAGATTACAAACTTCATGTGAATACACAGTCCGTCTGAAATATTCACAGCATATATCCATAAATAAAATGAACTTCTTTGAAATAGGCAGGCCTTAATAGTTAAAAATTCTGGCAAAACCGACTAAATTACACAAATTTTATCTATATAATTACAACACTTACAGTGTTTTCATTTCAAAAGAAGTTTGAACTTTCTACTCAATCAAATGTCCTATTTTTTCTCCAAATGAAAGCTAGTTTGTCCTAGATGTGTTATCATTTGCTCTTATTATCTGGTTTTATAACACAAACAATAAGTTTTAATTATATCTTAAAATTATAAGAATGAATTCTTATCTGCTGCCATTTGTTAATTTGTTTGGTTGTGAAAGATGCAATCTATCTATCAAAAGTGTTAGTTATTTTGTCATGCCCAACCATGAGATTAGTTGGGCATGGTTCTGTCACAACATAGCAAGAGTGTATAGTTTGCAAAGCAAAGATAGTGATTTGTTTTTTTATTTGGAAGGTCAGTAGGAACAAATAAACTTGATGTCCAGCAATCACTTGACACACATGTCTTTTTACAAATAAAACTGAATGCAACACCTATATAGTTACTGGAGTTTAATTTAACACGGATAGAAAAATTTCCTGCTGAAGTCCATTGAATAATTCATGAACGTCATGTACAGATCTTGGTAAATATAAAACATTTCAATTACATATTGAGAAACGTGTAACCTTCCTCGTTTAATTTCTCTTGGAGAATAAGCAGTATGAATATGCAATATGAAGAATGATTTTAGAATTTTTGAATTTCCATACAGGGCACACTCTCTTCTGTTTTAAATTTCCTACAGCTTTTCCTTTTGAACAAGATAATCACTTTAACTTGGTTCAACCAGTTATTCATTAATTTATTTATTCGTATATTTACAGGCAGCAGTAGTCCTGTTTACTCCTAAATACTTGCTAGTCATATTTGCAAATGCATAATAACAAGAGCTGGTACGTTGGTTTAACGATGATTGGTGATTGGCATTTAAAATTAAATAATGATAGATCTTGTCTTGGCCAACAATACTATTTTGTTGTTGTATGGAATACAAACAGCAGGAAACTAATGATAGTAGCTAAGGCATCAAAAGCTGCTCTTTCAATAAACAATATTGTTGCAAAGACAATGCCTATATTAGGGTTGTTAAATTTATGCAAACTTAATGAGATACGTTTGTATGCAAAACTGCCCCAGAAATGTTGAAATGCACACAGGAATGTTTAAAATGTGCAGCTTTTTATCACAAAACATGAATTCTGCAATGACATTTGCATGTTATTGCCACATAGTGAAATAGGGTGTACGTAAATTAAAAAACATCTGCCGAGATTATTTTGCTTTAAACACACGTAAGAACCATTATCATAAACATGTTTTCCTATCAAACAATTGTCTTGTATTTTGAGAAAGATCTTTCCATATCAAATGTTGTGATGAGTGCATATTTGTATTTTGAAACGTTTGTGCTAACTTCTCTGACCGTTAGGTTTGTATTTTTTCATCTGAGAACTAGCTTCCGATTATAATTTATTCACTCTACATTTATTTGACACCTCAACGAATTTTACTTCAATGGCCCTTGCCACCAGTCCTTGAAAGTTTTGGTATACACCTGTTTCCATCAAGATCTATGAATTATTTAATAAATTTTACTTGAAAATAAACTGTCTTTAAAGACAAAAAATTCTGAAAATGCAAATAAACAAATTTTTGTACCCAAAACTTCTAAAATATACAAAATAAACAACAGATGCAAAAATTTATTTGACATTCAATAAATTTATTTTGCCACAACACAGATTTTTTGTTGTGTTTAAACATTTGCCTCCCCACAAAACAACCTTGAAGGAAAGGGGGACTGCAAAATCTCCCAATAAAAGAGGAACTGTTATTCCATTGGACAGAGCATATTTGCAATTGTGATAGGATTGACATTGAATTCAGGTGGAGATGTGTATGATGTGATTTACTCGCAGGAGATTTGTTAACTTCATTTGTGTGTTTATCACCTTTGGTTGCTGATTATTAATAAAAAAGTAAATACATAAATTGCCCAGACTCAAGGTTGTTTTATGCAAATTAGGAAGGTTGAAGGCTGGAGACTAGTCACCAACACAAAAATGCATTGTGAAGCCGTATGTCAAGAGATTAGCTTGTAAGTTACGCGATATTATGTAAATAAAAATTTAGAAGTGACACAGTGGAACTCAAAACTACACTTTGTCTTCACAAGCCTTCAAAACTTCCCACTGCAACTCAGACCCCTATTAATTACACATTATCTGCTTTTTCTCGTCACTGTAACACATTTCACCTATTCTAGCTAATTTCAGTTTGCTAATATCAACTTCATATGGGTAAAGCACTATGTAAAGTTCAAGTTGCTTCTATGTCAGACCACCCATTTTAGATGATGTGAACATGAACCAACTAATTTGAGAAGTAGTCTGATTGGTGCTTTATGTGCAATAAATACTTACTTTAACCACAAGGGGTGGTGTGGGGTCAGGTGACTTAGCGATTTTCTTCTAAAGTGCCTTCAAGATAAGCTCGCTTCAGATAATGAGGAGGTGTACTTTCTGCCCGAACACGCTTGAGGGCAACAGCACTGGGCTGATTGTCAGTAGGTGATAGCAATGCCTGTTGCAAACCATCAAGTTCCTGCTTTAAACTTGATGTCTCCCCAGCTGCACGCTTTATTTTCATAAGCAAATGGTGATTTTGTTCATCCTGGTCTTTAATTTTGTTCTCCAGACTTCGAATCTTAAGAGGCAAAAATTACATTAAACTTTATTTGATACAAAAAATTGAACTTGGCAGCTAAGAATGAAAGAACAATGATAATTTGAAAGATCAAAATGGTGGCCCTTAATTCACATGTAGAATTCTTCTAAAAAAAGGAAAAAGTTTCTAAACTTTTACTTTCTCATATTCATAGCATAATGAAAGTATTGAAATGCTTCCAGAGAAAGAGCGTATTTTTTGGCAGAATATTTCATTTGGAAGGTCCCCCAAACCAAAAGATTACTTTTCTAGGTCCTAAATGCAACATGCAAATATAAAGTGTAGACAGAATCCATATTTTGAGCATGCCAAGCTAGTAGCGTTTTCAGAAAATCTGTACATCTGTTGGTGAATTGCATTAGTGCTATATCTGTACACAGGAGTTTCACTAAAATTAAGATTACCTGACTGATATGACTATGAGTACACAGATGATTTGTTTTTGTTTTTTTACCTGCCCAGTCAAAGAGTAAATTTTAGATTGTTCTTCACGGAGTTTAATACTAGGTTCCTTACTCTCGATAGCTATGGTTTTCATTCCTCTGCAAATTAAATAGATATCTATTACAAATATGTTAAACACTATAATATGTATGAGTGTATATATATGCATACATACAAACTGAGATCCATATTTGCGGTTATTTATAAACTTGTTACTCTACCAAACTGAATTATAGTGTAACTTGTTACACTATTGTAAGATATGCTTACACCTTGTTGCTGCTACAATTAATAAATAATGTAGTATGTAAAAGGCTTGGTAGTTAATTATTTTTGCATTTCTATCACTCATTTCTTTCACTTTCATTAACAAATACTCACTTTTTTAAAATAGATGTAAAGGCTCTTAAAGCTTTTATAGCTGCACTGGGGTTTTTGTAATCACAAAGCCCTTTTGTGACAGTCTCTATATTGAATCCCTCAAGAGATCTAAAACAAGAAGAAAAAGAAAGAAGAAAAGGTACACACATAACATGAAGAGGTTGTTACAGTACATATTTTTTTAATGTTAACATTTTCTGTATTGAAATGTAGGCTATTTCATAAGAATCAGTAATTGGTAACTTTGAACTTTTTATAGTTCTTTTCTTAAATGTGGATTGTAGTGCTAAACTTATCTAAAAAAATGTTTCTACAAGGTTATACAAATTTTTAAAATTAACATTAATTATGGAATTTACATTAACTATCTATAACATTTTCCAGAGTCCCTGCAAATTATAAAGTGAAGTTTGAGCAAAATATAAACTTCTTTACATACTATTACTTATGGTTTAAGAATATGATGCCAGAAAAGACTTTCTGAATAGGATCCAAGTGATAGTCACTTAAGTTTCTCATGTATTAACTGGCAGGGCGCTAACCCATCATGCAGGCTTCTTCTCTCATAACAAGACTAAATTGAAGAAGAATATCTTCTACTGAAATGTTTATGTTAGTACATTCTACTTATTAATCATTTCCTTGTCTCCCTTCACACCATGACAGCGATCAATAGATATATTTAGAAAAGGTGAGAATTTTGACTTCATTCTACAAGATTGCATGAACGACCAAATATATAAATTGTACTTGCAAACTTAGAAGTTTACACATTCCATAATGCTTCTGACTTTGTCATTAATATAGTGAAATACCTGTACCTGTCTTTCTACTACTTAATAAAAAACACAAATACCAAAGCTGTAATTCTAGACAAACATTGAACTTTTGGGCAGTGGCCAGAGGATGAACCTGAAATACAAGAGGCTATATCAAGTACATCGGGATTTAATTGAGTGATAACACATTTTTTAATACTCTATGGTGACAAGTTGATGTGAAGAAGAAAGATGTAACGCAAAATTCTAACAGGATTTTATAAAGTTAGTATCTTGGGTGATGAAGAAAGCAAATGGGCACAATTGATCTCTCCACACTTTCTTAATACGAGTACAATTATTTTATAAACATCTGAGAATCAAGACTCTCATGAATAAATTTAAATCAATAAGGTTACTTCATACAAACTATTCTCCCCTGATTCACTAGATATCATCTTGGCAAGAGGAAGAATTCTCTTCAACACTGGACAAAATAATTTTGCCATATTCATTTAAGACTGTTTACACTTCAAGAATGCAAACAACTCACCTCTTGTATGATTTTGTACTTACTTTTGCAAGAATTGGATTTTTTCCTGTAAGCCCTCACATTCCTTCCTTAGTGGTTGTAGTAAATGAGTTTTACTCTTCAGATCTTTAATGAGTCTCTTTAAAGTTTTGTGTTTTGTTGCTTCAAATTTCATGACATTTTTCAATCGTTGAATTTCATTCCTTAAAGAAACAAAAGTTGATTACTATTGATCTTTAAAAAGGCTGAATAAAATAACGACATTCTGCAAATTACCAAAGAAGCAAATATCATTCAACTAAAATTTCCATGAAGTGAGTTGTGAGCAGCATGCACCAACTAAAACACTTTGGTAAGTAAATAAGCAATTATACCATTCTGGAAAAATACCTACATATTACCTTTGTTTTCAACAATCACAAAAGCTATACCTTTTTTCTTTTGAATAAGAAAGTTGGGTAAGTGGCCATTTGCCTGTATTAACAAAATCAAATAACTATCTGAAAAAAAATTAATTCTGCAGTGACACCCACATTGACGTGACAGCAACAAAATGAAAAAACCACAAAGGTGGTGCTACAAAGCGGCACACACTTTCTCGTATAAGTTAGTTTCCTGTTCTCTTGTGTCTGGGTTGTGTCTTTGCTTCTCCCTCTCCCCAGAGCTGTTTCGTGGTGTTCACTGCTCCTGCGGGGCCACCCCCACAGGATCCTAGACCCTATCTCAGTGCTTGTTTCGGAAGTGGGAACCGCTTCCCCTAATTTAGTTCCTTAATCGCCAGTAGACTCTCATGGGTGTACAAAATGCATGAAAGGTTGTTCTCAGAAACAAACAGAATCTGACAGTTTATTAATGAGAATGCTGTTTCATATTGGACTTTCAACTTACAAAATGTTTTGAAATGGCCTGACATTAGTGTTTAGTAGCAAAAACAATTATGATAATGAATTTAAGAAAGAAATTATCAAAAAAGGACAAATTCCCCTACAAATAACATATCCTACTGATCCCGAAATTCCCTGACACAATAAGTTAATTTTTCTACACAGGAATTTTTCTACTGGTATTTCCAGAAACAAATGTATTTTTTTTTCTCTTTTCAATTTCTTAAACAATTAACTTTCTGCCATTTGAGTACTTTTCTACTATATACAATCTTTCTCAAAAATTCTTTTTAATGTTCCTTTTAGCAGTTTTCCTTAAGAGTCAATTGAACTACAGCAAAACTTATTTAAATTTTATATTATTTAAAATTCCACATGTATTGAAATTTTGCTGTTTAATTTTCGTGTTTATGACTGTCTTGGCATCATTTCATATAACCCTAAAAAACAAAGCATCGTTCGTGTTTTTTCTTTTCCTGTGCATAAACAAAAAAAAATAGGATATGTTTGTTAGATGGTCAAGAAAATTTCCATTGTACAATATCATGTGCAATTAACATACCATGAAAGCATTAAATTATGTGTCATAAAGAAACACCTCATCTATGCATAAAAAATAAAATACAAAGAATGAATCAGATTAAATACACACATATCTAGAAGAGGTAGCAATATTAACTTGTTCCAATGTTGTTCCTCTCCTGACAATTTGTGGAAAAAAGAAAAAAAATACATTTTTACAATTGTACCAACATGCTGTATCATATAAACTTGTTTGACACTATTTTGTTTTATTTAGGTATGAAATTGTTGTACATATAATAAATACTTCTTGTAATACTTCTAGTTTTTGTAATGTTTCCTTGTTTTTGTAATACTTCTAGTGTAAGAATACTCAGAGTAGTAGAAGTTTTCGAAAAACTTTAAATACATAATTTGCAGATCCTGAACTCACAAAGAGAATAATCGCCATCAATGTAAATATTAAACACATGAAAGACAACACCTCAAAAAGAAATAATATTAAAAAATTACAAAAGAATAGAGCAATACAGCGATCATACGGTAAGTCTATGCAACTCTATCATACGGTAATCTTATAAAACACTTTTAGCATCATTTAAATTGTAAAGAAAATATTTATATTCACTTTTGAGAAATGTTTGTGTTTGAAATTTTTACTTTCGTGTATACGTACATATATACAAAGTAATATATCTAGTATAGAGAAGGTATGTAATTCTGCAGAAAATCGATTTCAACATTTCAGCGGAAATACACCTTTTGAAGTCCCTTGATACCAAAAAAGTGTCGTTGTTGTTGTTGTTGTTTTCCCCTCTAAAACATCCGTCCACCCACTCTGTGTCTGAAAAGACCAATAGTACCTAAATCAGGCATCAGATTGTTTTCAAAATGGTATTCCTGTCGATCTGCCTCCACTCGAGGCTTGAAGTGATCCTGAAAACATTCTTCAGATTTTCTGGGGTATTCTACACAAAGCTCTTGTGGCACTTTCAAAATTTTCTCAAAAATGGCTCCAAATTGTTTCTTCTAATTTCTTTTAAGAATACAGTAAAATACACTCATAAAGATGGCAGAGTTCCGTTTTCCACTGTTTGCACTGAATTTTCGACAAAAGTTTGAAATTATTTCAGCTTCTTTCTACTACTACACCTCGTGATGCTGCAGAATGGTGCATACTATTTCTTACCAGTGTTTTCTTTTTTCTTTGGTCTTTGCCCTATCTTACCAGCTGTCATCTATCGCCACCCAAAGTACGTTCTTTTGACATTTTCTCAATATTTTGGTAGAACCGATAATACCTACTAATAGAATATTAAAGAAAAGTAAAACTCCGCCCTATATGAAAATTTTCTTTTAAATATATGGATTCTTTTTTACGAAATTGTCGTTTAACCAATACGAAATATGAAGCTAATTTCACAGAATACTTAAGAGTTTACAAAAAAATTTATTGAAAATCGCTTCCACTCAAAAATGCAATAATATATACAAATCACTATAAATGAGCGTATTAATGGCGTGAGAGATATTTAAAAATACATTTGTGTGGATTTTGAAGAGTTTTCTGCCAAAAATTCCCCATTTTCGCGCAGCATTACATAACTGTCTCTCTACTGCGTAAGAGGAAGCGAGAAAGTAACAATGTGTATATTCGTAATTGTAACTGTAGGAAGACGCCGAGAAAATTTTTGAATTTTTGCAGTTTTTAAAAATCAGATTTTCAAGGAACATGAGACCTGCACCTTTCTCTTAAGCGTCCTATAAGCAACGGAAGTCAAAATATAATCAAAATTGTTGGGGCCGTTTTTGTGAAAAAATGTTGAAACAAAATTAAAAATTATAGTGAAAGCCTATAGTGTGATAACAAAATTAAAAATTGCCTATATTTCAAGCAAAATAACATGACAAATATTCAATGTTTTGAAAAATTATACAGGAACTTATTTTAAAATTAATGTCTACAGAACAGATTTCATTAGGAGAAAATTCTCTATCTTTAATATTTAAATTGTAGGAAGACTACGAAAATATTCTGAACTTTTGCAACGTTCGAAAAATCAGATTTTTCAACGAATATATTGATCTGCACCATTCTCTTAAACGGTTTAGCAACTAGCGTTGTTCACATACGGACAGATTTGCTGTTATTCGATTTTTCGACATCAAGAACCCACAAAATATGAAGTCATACTTCACGATGATGTTCCAGATTTTTAACCTTTTTCTGTGAGAAGTATAAACAAAATAAGAAACACGTGTTTTTCATTTTTTCCCGCTTACTGTTTTACGAGATATTAATATCCAAATTTTTCGAAAAAATGTTCACATTGCTAACGTTAAACATTTTTAACTCGTAATTATGACAAAAATTTTGTATTTTGCGACAGTAAATAACAAAAGATGCTCTTTCTTTTGATGTATATTTCGAATTCACTCAACTACTCTGAGAAATTGAATACAAAAAAAATTGGTACGTGGTGTTTTGCTGCACTCCTCAAGCGTGTGCTGATTCAATTTCGTTTCTAACGGAGGAATATTCACACGATTAAGAGTCAGTAATACGTTTCTTTTTACTTCACTTTACAGACTATCGTTTATTGACTGTTACATAATGAAATGAAACAATATATTTTCTTTGGACTTTCTAGTGTTTTCTTATTATATCACTGTTACAGTAGTCCTCTTTTTAAATATTATTTATTTCATTGGGAATATTATAGTTGCTCCTCCCCCCCCCCCTCTGACTCCCCGGCAAGGTCCTTTTCCAAAGACATTGCGAAGCGAAGAAGCGCCATTCAGCACTCACTTTCAAGAAATCTTTGTGAAAGTATAAACTCGCATTGTTTTATAATAATAGGTACTCCTACTGGCCCCAACCGAAAATGTCTGTTAACACTGTCATAATCTTACTTGAAAAGTTATGAGTTTAGACTGAAAACGGTGAACTGAATTCGTGTCGTGTTTCATGCATCTAGAAAAAGAAATTATTCAGTGTTTATATTCAGTTTTCTCTGAAGTATAGCACAAAAGGATGCAAAGTAGCTTAGTCATTAATGCACAGCAGCCTTTGAATTACATATTCAAGCCCGAAACTATAATTTTCTAAAAAGTCGCATTGGACAATGAAAACTCCGGGCGTCAAATTTTACTTTCGTCTCGTAATGGCAAACGATGGGTGAAGACAGCAGAAGAAACAGAAAGACGAACTTACTCTTGTCAGTTAATTTATTCTCAGGTGATACGTTTGAGTTTGCCTTACCAGGACCAGCAGTGCACGTTCTTGTCACTATCCAACATATTTACGGTATTATCAAGTGTGGTCGATTTTCACTTTCTTGAAAAAACCTCACTTGACTCTTACGAGAAGGAATTTTGAAAACCAGTTTTTCCGATATATATAGCCTTTGTTGACGGCAAACAATCAATTTTCAACTCCTCAAGAATGCCGATTGTATCAATCTAAATGTACACTTCTTCTGCTATTGTATATTTTCATATTAATAAATTGCCAATAACGATAGTATTTATATTATTGTAAGGCTATCTGTGGTTACTTCACAGAACAACGCACAAGTTTCTCGGATTCTCCTGTTGACGCAACTGACTCAGTGTATCTGAGAAGGAATGCTGTTCAATTTCAGGCACACACTAGCCGTATCTGTTGTTAATAAATAAATCTAATAGTTGCATTTTGTTAGAACACTTTCATTTGAGGCTGAATGCGTGTTTCTGCGATTCATAAAATGACCTACGTCTCATGGTTGCTTTTATGTTTGGACGTCACGAGGCGTCATGTCATTGACGCCTCAGTACTTCCAACAGACAGTCCGGCGGGCTGTGCTCTCGTGTACAAACTATGAATCTAAATTATTTTTTTTGGCCCCCCTTTAAAATATGGCACAACATTTGTGTAGGAATATATAAGGGTTTAAAAAAATTAAGTTAAGTGTCGGCATAATATAAGAATTGCATTTTAAAAATAAAATATATTATTAATATTTAAATAATATATTTACACCAATTATATTCACATCACATAAAATTATACCTTTTTAAGTATAATTTAGGTGTAATTGTATTTTTCTGAAGGAAGCGGTATTTGCGTAAACAAATTTGAACCATTAGCGAGCGATTTTTTTTCGAAAACATAATTGGTAATTTTACTGAAAGGGGTGGGATTAGAAAAACAAGAAAAAATACGTGTCAACTATTTTCAACCCTAGACCACATAAAAACGTTTCCAGTCGCTAAAAATAGTAATGTTTTATGAAGGTGCGATTTGGCATGGAAAGAGTCATATATCTTACACAGTGTAAGATACGAGTACATACGAGTCATTCCACGTCAAATTGAACACCGTTTTCACTTCAGGTGTTTGAAATTGAAACTTCTTTAATGTGTTTGAGAGTAACTAAACGAGGCTTATTTTTTTTGGAATTGCGCGCACGAACAAATGAAAATGCTTATTTCTTCTGCCACATCCATCGCAGAGAACTGAGATTGGTCACAAATAAAAACTCAAACACAGTTAGTTAAGACTGTTTATAGTTGGGTTTAATTGTTAAATATCAAGAATTCATTAAATTTCAATTGATTAAAAATATTTCAACTTTACAAATTTCTCAAAACTAAAATGTTATTTAAAAAAGAATATTATATTCTCAGTTTAATGAACTTCAAATGTGACAAATTTCAAGTTGGGATATTTATAAATAACGAAATTTAAAAAAATATTAATTGTACGCGTGCTACGGTGATATTTCAATATTATTTCATGTACTCCCATTAATCACCTCAACATCCGTTATGTCGGTTTGTTCTCAGGTTCCACGTGGGTGAACGAGTCGGATGACAAAGTGAATTTCAGCCCAAGTTGTATATTAAAACTTTCGAAATATACTTACACCAGTCTGGTTGTCTTCTTGTTGAATGTGGCTATTTCTTTTCTACATTTGTCTAACTCAGCATTCTTCAACATCATCTTGTATTCCAATCTATCGATATTATCTTGAAGAGTATAGGCTACTTCTGGATCATTGTGTAGGCCTATTGTAAAATAAATTCTGCATAAATCTTTGACGATCAATTTTGCACGACAATGTGGACATGAGTTCGACCTAAACATAGGAAGATACAACATTACTTCAGTTCACATAATTTCGAATTAAGATTTGTTAATATAAACAAACCAACCTCTCCAAGCACAGCCTAATGCAATTCCAGTGGAACACGTGCTCACAACGTGTTGCAATAGCCACATCCGTTGCTACAAACCATTGGCTGCATCTAGAGCACATGATGTTCATGTCCCTAGGGAAGCCGTCTCCTCCACCTCCGGACGAAGAGGGTCGCTGACCGCTCATGACGTGCGCCAATAGACGGGGCTCCTCCCGAGACCCTGGAGACAACTGACGATAAAGCGAATACAATCATGAATTTTGACGTTAGATACTCATTTTTTTTCATACTCATGATGCTCATTTTTGTAGTTGAATTCATGACAATCAGGTTTAATGTGATTGATTTCTTAAGTTTTTCAATTAGAAAAAAAAAATGAATGTCAATTTACGAAAAAGGATAAAATTTCAATTAAAATACATTTTCTTACGTGTAGGTTACGTTTATGTAAGGTTAATATTTCTTGTGAATAAATAAGAATTAACATTTTATGGTTAATATATCCAGATGATTTACTTGCAATTAAGATTAATATTTTTGTATACATTACTTCTAATTGTAAATTTCGTTTAGACTTTCGTTATTTTTTATGGTGTGTAATATATAATATTTGTAATTTTTCCATTAAGACGCAAATTTTCATTACAAAGCTTGCTATATTTAATAAATGCCTTTGAAATCCCATTTCCTATGTTTACGTGAAGTTGGTTCGCCCGCGAGAACTTTCCTTCCACTCGCCGAGTGCCTCGTGATCCGAAACCGGCTGTTGCGCCGTGGAGAGGTGCAGATGGCGCGAGTGGTTGGGTTGTAGGATTGGCGTTTTACTATTTGGAGACATAAATGAGTTGGAGGTTTGTGACGCGTTGCACGTTCTGCGGAGGATCGGCCGCGGGCTGTGTACATGTTTAGATGCGGTGCGAGGGGTATGCGGTTGGCCTGGCGCATGTAAACGCGAGTAGGGCAGGAGACCTGGCGGAGGAGTGGAGCTCGCCCAGATGGAGCGGCGCTCCGCCGCAGGAGATGCTCGCCCCTCCAATTACGCCGCTTTCGTTGCTTATTTAGTTCTAAATGGTCGGCGCCATGGTATATACCAACATCCATTTTCATATACGAGCATATAGTAGATGTAAATAAAATGTTAAAAAAGGAAAAGGTGATGATAGTTGGTCCTCTTGGTGAAGAGAGCTGAATCAGAATATTTTTTCTGGACAGTTGAAATACGGCGCTGATCTACACTCGACATGCAGAGGTTTCCCTCCCCAGGGATCTCCTGCAGCGGAGCGCCGCCCAGCCGGGAAGGGCTTCTAACAATTCCATATTTTATATTATCCGGGACGAGCTATGTATTGTTTGGCTATTTTTGAGTGTCTTTATACTCTACCCGCACTAGGCAGTTTTGTTAGGCAGGAAGTGACTGAACATATACGGGATATTAATTCCATTAAAGACCAATTCTCTCGATGAAACTTGTTTTTATTGTCCTGTTGTATCAAATCAATAAATTTTATTGAATTTTGTCCGTTTAATTGTGAAAGTTTTTCAGATGAAATCGAGATACTTTGAAAGAGTTCTGTGGGAACAATACTGTAAGCATCTTCTGATTTACTGAATGTATTTTTTTTTTCCGGACGCCGTGAACGCAACTTTTAAGTGCAGAGGATTCATAGTCCGTAATGTTAGTTAGTGCATGTAAGGCAGGTTTCCCCCTGGCCCGACCTCAGGTCCGGCGCTGACCTACACGTCGCATCGGAAAGCGTCTGCCGAGAGCAGAGAGAGACACAACACACACATATGCTTCTGAAAATCGTACACCTGTCTAAGAGATCCGTCAATTGTTATATTCAACTCGCAACGAATTCTACAGAAGAATTCATTTTTCCGTTGCGGAATTGTCACCCAAAGAGAAAACTAATGATGTCCCGCTTACTGCAAATTAAGCTAGAGCGTTTCAAAAGACAAGGAACGTTGGATGTTTGAAATCGTCAGCTATAAATAATGCCAAAATAAAACTTTCTTAAAAATTGTGCAAATTTTTCTTTCTGCACTTACTTCGGAAGAAATTGTAATCTTGGGCCAGAAACGGCGAATTTTTGTCAGAGAAACCTTGTTGCCAGGCTCAGGAAGCGAAAAATCGATAAACCCTGTTCCTCCACTCCTATTATTTCCACGAAGCTGTTATCTTTACTTCGATGCCTTCTGATTTCTCCAGATTTACAATAATTGTGAACTTTCGCCTATTGTGTGGCAGCGAAATAAGATTGAATTATGCGGCGCCTCTGACCGGGAGGTCCCTAGTTCGTGTCGCAACAGTCGCAGGATTGTGACACTCGCTAGACAACTAGGAGAAGAATTCTAGTAGCCGGCTGCTCTGATCAGTGGCCATGCGAATGTTGGAACGGTACCTAACAAATAAGCCACGGACTGGCGCGCGATCTTTTCTTTCTTTTTCTTATCTCATCTTACCCTCACATACACTTACACTTACATGCACTACAACTAACACACATGCCGGAAGCTTAGAGTTACCGGCTGGGCGCGGTGTCCCGCTGGTGGGAGATACTGCTTAGGGAAAACCGCAAGACGGCTGTGAGCGGCGCAGAATCTCTCCCTCCAGCGGGGAATACCATCGCACCGCGGAGACATGCACTACACTTAGAGACTATGAAATTTGTATAAGTAAATCACTCCGATGTCTTGCGAGTCTCCCAGATTCAAATAATAGTGGCACGGGACAAGGGACTCGATCCTTCTGCTGTGGCGGCGCCATGCAGGCTTCTCCGCGCCCCTTTAGTGCTGGCGCAAGTGACCTTGAGGCCCCCCTCCCCCGCGCCGCGCCGCACGGCCGGGGCGACCAAGAGATAATTCTGCTTCGCCCCTTCGCCAAATTTCGCTTCCCGACGCTTCCAGTCATCCGATTCGGGCGGCTGACAATGCGTTGGCTGCAGGAAGGGTGCAGCCATGGCGGTATAACCCACTTTCTAATTTCCCCCGGAAATGGGAAAAGAAACTTGTAAAATGGAGTTCTAGTTTTTGCCATTATTTTTTTAGAGGGCTTCGCAGCGAAAATTCTACATTGAAAACGAGTCAAATGGTTTACAGACCCAAATCGAATTGTTTTTTCACATGTAATGATTACGTAAATCCCTACCCATAGGCTACGAACTACTCAATTTCCGTCTCAAATTTGTCGGGACATTCAGCCTTAAAAAGTAGCGCAGATTTCGTTTCCGTTGAATTATCTGAATTTTCTGAAAATTTCAAAAGTTATAAAAGTGACGAAATAAAGTGTGGTGCTGTTGTAACACCAACAGATTATAATATATTTGATAATACGACAGTCAAAATATAAGAAACTAATTTGTATTAATTTAAAAATGAAATAATATTCTTTTTAAATTGGTCTATTTAGGTTTATGGTATTTTATGCTATAATTAATTTTGCTTTTTTTAGAAAGCCCGCTCTTTGTACGTACTGAGCCAAAGCTGTGGCACAAGTGCACGCGCAAAGCATACAATAAGTACAAATACTCAGAACGTGCTGAGGAGGGTATAATTTAATTTTAAAAATGCGCTTTGTCGAGTGAAAGTGACTGCTGGGCCCACGGCAGACCGCTTCTGTCCGTAGACGACTCGTACCTTCAGGAGCGCAGCGCTGAATGCTGCCTCTTCCCTCGCGTCCCTTCCGTGCGCCGCAGGGAGTATGCGAGGGCGCTGTACCTCCGCTGCCAGACGACGAAGCCGTTCAACTGCATGGTGTTCAACAGCACGTATTTCTCGTCGAATTTTCCGCAAAGGTAGCGAAAAGTACTCAAAGTTTCGAAAAATTGTTCATGACCCAATTTAAAAAATCTTTCTTAAGGAAACAGATTTCAGTAAAGGAAAAATCTCTAAATACATGTTTGTAGCTGTAGGAAACGCCGAAAACTTTTGAATTTCTGCAATTTACGAAAAAATCAGATCTTTCAACGAACATGAAACCTTCATTACTCTCTTAAACGTTTTCACACACAAACAACTACAACGTTAATCAAAAACCATTGAAACCATTTTCTTTCGAAAATTTGGAAATGTTCCACGGCTTCATGTAGTCCCCAAAAATTAAAATATCGACTTCAAATCCAGGGATCCACAGATCGATTGGGAATATCAGTTTTGGAGACAATCGACTGGCGGTTTTCAACTGCTAGCGTTGTTCACAGATGGACGGACGGACAGACAGACTGACATAAATGTCCTCATTCGATTTTTTCCGAACGAGAGGACAAAAGCTTGGATTCTGGCCACACCACGTATTAGAGATTTTTTTCTCAAAATTTAGCAACTGGATTATTGCCTTTTCCGTTACAAGGGCTTAGTATAAAAAGAGTTCTTCTGCAAAAAATCGCCGATTTCTCGCGCAACATTACATAGGTTTCCTTCTACTCCGTAGCGAGAAAGTAAGAAACTGAATAAACGTATATTAGTTTTTGTAGCTCTTAATTTCCGGCATCATAGAACTTCAATACAACTCATTTCTCAGCTATGTATTTAGGCAGTCTGAAAAGACCAGATGTAACACGTTAGAGAGACTGATCGTATACAGCATACATGCCCAACTGGAGAGTATTTTTATTAGAAAAGTAATCGTGTAAGCTGGATTGTAATTCGAAAAACGCCTAGAAAATGCTTTGCAATAACGCTCCGAGCACATCAATTTGAGGATTGCCCCTTGAGGTAATTCGCCTGCGAAACAAACTTGTAAGCAGTCAGATATTTTTATTAAACATCTGAAAATGAGATCATTAACCCTAGAATGCACAGCCCCGAAAACTACCATGAATGCATTTGTACGACCTCCGGGACCCTGCGCATTCGCTCTCGAAAAATGACAAACATATTTTTATTCTTATAACTTCGGTTTTCAATAATTTATATATAATGTCAACTCTTCATGGTTAAACAAATGATTATTTAAATAACAATTAATAGGGCTTTAAATAAGTATGGATAGTGCTTACAATCCATAATAAGCATGTAATAGAACGTAATAGATACCAAATTTCAGAACCTACCTTCAATAACTTCTGTACTTTTTCTTTGGCAGTGACGAAAATGAAAGAAGAAGGTTGAAGAGAGGTACATAGCGCAAGCTCTCACGCGGCTGTGCAGCGAAAAAAGGAAGTAAAAAGACATTAGGGCTGGGAGGCCATGCATCCTAGGTTAAGAAGTACAAATTGGCGTTACATTGACA